CCTCATCCTTAATCCCGTCGTCGTACTATGATCTTCATCTAGTCTACCAATCATTTCATCAGATTAGTTATCCCATCTTCTCCTCCATTAACCAAACTAAACCAAAAAATTCTCCCTTTTTCTTTCGGCCTACGATCGCCGGAGTTCCGACCGGCGAGAAAATTTTTTCAGGATTTTTTTTTCTTTTTTCCGCGGTGGCGTTCTTCCCCAGTCGATGCCTGCACGTATGAGGAGCCCTCAGGGTCAATCAAGCACGGGGAGTCGTTGAAGGCGGGTGCCCGGGCCCGGATGTAACGCCGGCGATCAGTCACGTGATTATTTTCGGGGGGTGCCCCTCGCCGAAGATCGATCGATGATGGACGGCTGGAGATCTAGAGAGATCTTGAGAGATCTTGAGCAGATTCAGCTGAAGAGGTGTGGGCCGGCCGGCACGGAGATGGTTTCCGCGTCGAAGGTCGAGCGTTCACGTGACTCTCCTGGGGGGACCGAGGACCGGTCGGGAATGATTCAGTCGTCGAGGTGGTGCTGTGTTGAGCAAAACTTTTGGCCTCCCGGGGGGGGCCGGCGCGGGCGCGGCGGTGATGATTTCCACGTCAGGGTCGGGCGGCTGGGCCCCGAGACCGGTTCGACGTTGCTGAGTGAGCCAAGGACGTTCCGGACCGGCGCGGGGACCCGGGGTGGTTTCCTCGTCGGCTCAAGGTGAGATGGTGCCGGGGCGGCCGGCCGGGTAGTTCCCCGCGACTCCGCCCGGGGCGCGCGGGCTGGCGGTCAGTTCAGGACCTGGGAGCCTTGAACCGAACCCGGTGAGAGGGATGGGACGTCTTCTCCTTGCTCCGCTTTGAATATCAGGACAAGATGCGGATTGTGCACCACATGTGCACCACATGTGCATGCCTACCCACCCACACCACACACAACGCATCACACGCACCTGCCTGTGCGCATATGGCATATATATGTATTTATATATATACACATGCACACGCACGCACGCACATGGTGTCGTAGACGAGAACCTTTGCTTGATGCAGCGACTCAACCAGCTTCAACCGAACGAACCAGACGTCTGTGCTGATGCCGGCTGAAGGTCCGGATCGACCGGATGCACATCTCTGTCGGTGGGTGGGGTGAAGTGGATCTTGCAGGGTGATTCGGTTCAACGTCCCGATGAGCTCCATCCAGCTGAAGATGTTGACCGACTCACCGATGGAATCCATGTCGGATCCATGCATGCATGCACATGCCGACGTAGACACCACATCTGTCTCCCTGCTTCAGTGCGCGGGCGAGGCGTCGTGGTCCATACCCGCCGGGGTCGGCCCTCCGAAGGGATATTGTCGGATGAGGTCGCCCCTGTTCCCGCCCCTGTTCCGTCATATCCTCTCCCCCCCCCTTCAAGGCCATTCGGTCTCAGCTCAGTCGACGGGGAGAAGCGCTGCGGCCAAGGCGGCGGTGGGGCCCAGTTTCAATCCGGCCCATACAAATCGGTTCCCCCGACACGGATTTTCGGTACGGCGAGCGCAGTCTGGCAGGATCCATGGGGAGATGCCTCCGGGGAGTAGTTGTAGGCGGGAAGACACGGCGTCTCCAGTGGGAACGTGTCGTGCCTCCTGCCTGCAACGTGAGCCGCGTAGCGGCGGTTGGGTCTGCCGGCATCGGTGGGCACCCGGGAAGCTTCCTCCGCAGCTACGGCTGGTCGCGAGGAGATGGCATCCCGGCCCTTCGAGACCGCAAACCGCGCCGCCTCGTCGCGACCCGCG